TAAAGGTATTGAATTGTTAATGTTATTATTATTGGATGATAATAGTGATGATGACGATAGTGAGTTTAAATTAGAGTTGGGATTAGAAATAAAATTAAAATTAAAATTAAAGTTAGAATTGGAGTTTGCTTTTAAAGGAATAACATTTAGAGGAGTTTTGTTTGTAGGATCAATTATTGGTATTGCTCTTTTTTGTTGTGGTGGTGTTATATTAATGGATTTGGACTGACTTTGTAATAGAAGTTGAAAATGCAATTGGAATTCCGCGAGCTTGTATATATAATAAATAAAATGAAACAATGATTATTAGTATTGTTGTTGTTATTGTTGTCATTATTATTATTACTGTTATTATTATTTTGTTGCTCATAATTTAGTAATTAATTAAATATGACTAGAATACAAATTATTGCATAATTTTTTTTTGCTAAAAAGTCAGTCACAGGTTGATTGACTCTTAATTCAAACAAGATACATTTCTAATCACATAAAATTGGTTGAGAAATTTACCTCTTCCGGTGACAAAGAAGGACAAAACTCAAGATCATCATCAAAACCTTTAGCTGCTTCTTGACGAATCCTATAACGGTCAAGACGGTCAGAAGCTAAAATAAAAATAAAAGTTATATATTCATATATTCACGTATTAATTTATATATATCTAAATAGGTTTATTAATGTATGTTTATTTTGAGGTTTATATTTAAAAGAAAAGATAATGTTACCTTGTGCATGGTCTTCAAGTTGTGACATATTTGCAACTATTAGATATATTATATATATGTATTTATTAAAGAGAAATTTTTAGTATGGTTTTTTTTATTTTCTCGACAATAACAAAAAAAATTATTCCAACAATAACAACAAGTATAAATATTTCTTTACCTTGATTTAGAGAATGTGTCAAAAGAAAAAGTAAAGAAAAGAACAAAAAAGGAAAGAAATTTGATATTTTTAATAAAAATTAATAAATAAAAAAATAAATATTATTTTTTTTTTAGATTATATGTTCAAAGAATTAAAAAAAAATTTTAATTTTAAAAAAAAAAATAATAATTTAGCTCTATAAATAATATTAGTTTTTATGGGCCCTGAACTATTTTGTACTCTTTTCCCTCTCTTTGTGGTGAAGATCTTTTAGTAATTTCCTACAAAAGTAAATTGATTTGTTGGAAATGTGGCTTGAAAAATAAACTCAAAATGTCATCGTCGTCATCATCACACATTCGGGTTACACAAACAAAAAAAATCTATTAATATAATAATAAAAAAACTTCGCTCATGACGACGACTTTCCACTTTTTTTAAAAAAACGAAACTTCTATTTAACAATTTTAAATATTATTATAGTAAATAATTAATGCATACATCTTTTCTTTTTCCAATATTTTTGTTTCGAAAAATATTCCACTACCGTGGCAAATTCCTTCAATACTTCTTTTATTTGTTTCTCTTTTGGAATCGTTGTTCATTTGTCTTTGAACCAATGATTTGTCTTCTGTTATTTGGTAGAGTATAGAGATGGTAATGATGTGGTATGGTTTAATGGAAGTCATAAACTTCTTGGAATATTCCGTTAATAAAGGTCGAATCGGAAAATTTAATTTTTCAAAAATGAACAAATTAAATTTGTGGAAACGTTTTCTTAAGATTGGGTCGACTATCAATATCAATATTGCATCTATTTTTATAAATAGATCGTCAAATGTCACAATTGATAAATTGAGCAAATCTTTTTCAACAGTACATCTGTGATTACTCTTTTAGTTAAATCCATAAAACAGACGCAGTTTCATTCATGGTTTATTTTTTATTTTTTGTATCTAATACTAAAGGGCAAATTGCTAACCATTTTAATTTTACAACATTATGAACAGTATTTTAGACCAAGTTTTTTGTATGTGATTTTCATAGAATTCACGATGTAGTTGTTTTCGCCTCAAGTTATAATTTTCGGAAAAATATTGAAAAGAATAATTATTATTATCAATTGTTATAATTATTAATATTGACGAAAAGAGGTATTTCAGTTCCTTTATTTATACGAATCCAACTGGCCCTACTGAAAAGGTAAAGTGCCGTCATGGCGCAGAAACCTGGTCCTGTCCCTGCCATTCTTTACATGGATAAAATCTTGAAAGAAATAGTTTGATGTGCCACATCTCCACTTTCCATAAAAAGGACTAGGTTTTGTTTTACAAGTTTGTTTTGTATGAAAAATGATCACACGACAACAATAAGTTAGTATCGGAAAATTTTCAATAACTGTTTCACGAAAATCTATAAAGAAATGCTCATTTTTTTTGAAACATTTTTAGATTAAACAAGATGTTGTAAAGTTTCTAGACAAGGTCAAGTTTGAAACATCTTAACCTATTTGTAATAAAGCGTCCACTTTATTCACTATCATTATGTGAAACAAAATGATGTTATGACTTTGCATATATGGAGTTAATTTACTTTTTGATTTTTTTTGTTTTGATTTTAACAGTTAAAATCTAATTAGTCGCATTAGTATATATTTGTTTATAAATTTTTGAAAGGGAGCTCAAATTACAATTGAATCCAGCCAGTTTTAGAATAATTATATCTTTTTCCAATGGAAAGAAATTTTGGAACTACAAACTTTATTGAAATTGTATCTCAGGCCTTTTCTCTAGAGAGATAAACCTGATATCCAAACTTAACAATTTTGACTTAATTTATTAATTTTACTTTTTTAAAAATGGATTTTACACCTTGTAATTTTGTTTTTATTCTCTTTCCCTCTGATTCCTTAAAAGTTTGATTTTGCATGACCTTAATATCGTTATACTCTCTTGTAAGTTTTTAAGAGGTAGTTTGTTGGTTATACTAACTGAGAAATGAACATAGTTAATACTTAACGTTGCGATTTATTTATTTCATTAATCCTTTATAAAATTTAGAGAATGAAAATGATGCATATGTCAAACAATAACAACGTCAATTGTTTAATCAAACAAATTGGCCAGACAAAGGCGAGAAATTAAAGATGATTGTAGGCTTAAATGAGTGTTTGCAACTTCTCAACCCGATAATTTGATATCACATTTAGTTTGGTTACATGGGGCCAATGTTGAAAATAAAGTTCTTGTTAATTATGTGAATTGTTAGATCGATTTTTAAGATTTTTCTTATAACCAAGGCTCCAAACGAATCAATGAAATTCGAACCTATAAATGACTTGGTTCGAATCTAATTCAAATATATATAGTGCAAGTCACTTAGTCCCACAACTTTCTGCGCCACAGTGGCCAATTTTGAGAAAAAAATTTCCAATCAAAAATGCAATAAAAATTTTAAGGTCACATGATATTTTGTACATTCTTTGATCAATGCAATAATCTATTTATTAAATTAAAATAAATGAACTTACCTGTTCTTTGTTTTTTTAATAATAAAGATAATTAATTATCTTCCCGTTCATCTGGAAAATTCACGTGACAAAAGATCTGCAATATAAGATAAATTTTTCAAATTTTTATTTTGTTTCAATTCGTCTATTTTTGATAAACTTTTTTGTGTGTAACTGGCCATTTTAGGGCCAAGAATCGTAAATTTGGTAAACTTTGTGCAACTTTAAAGCTCAAATCCTCCACAACAACATGACATATCAACGAAATGAAATTGTGATTTTGTAGAGGAAGGTCTTGGCTTCAAATACACGATTTATTTTTGGGTGTTGCATTTCTATTTTTGGAGAATTTGAAAGTCTACATGACCAATAAAAAGTTGTGGGACTAAGTGACTTGCACTGTACCATATAAAATAATTTTAATTTTAAAAGAGTTGCCTTTGGACAAAAAATACATTTACCTAGTGCAATAATTGCATTTGGTTTTTCCATCTACAACTGTGAAATTGATCCACACGTTCCACTTCTTGTTTTTCTTTGAACACATTAATTGCACTATGCCTGTTGAAGAAGTAATTGAAGAGGCATCATTCTCAACAATGTAATTATTGTCATTTGTCATTTGTCATTATTATATTCGTTTTTTTCATTATTATTATATTATATTTATTTTATCCAAATTATTCGTTTTATTTATTTTATCCAAATAAAAATCGAATACTCAAATTCATAACAAATAAAACGAATCGTTCGAATAAAAACCCTATTAATATGACATTAAAAGAAATTTTATCGAATCCAGTTTTTTGGAATTCGAATCACTTTAAAATTTAACTCAATTCCATTTGTTCGGAGCTTAAATGCAACAACCGAATCCTTTGCAGATTAAGTTTGATATAATTAAAAAATATAATTAAGATCCAATTAGGAACCAATTAAAGAATGTAATGAATGCTAGTATCACCAATTATTTTTTAGGAGAGAATATTAATTGATGGTAACAATAAATTTATGATTATGTGGATCAGAATAGTTTTATTAGCGAATAAAATAGATTATAAAAAATATTTTTGCTTCTAATTTCTCCCTCTTCTGTAAAAACCGTACATTTCCTGATAGCCCTCAATGTACTCTAACTTATTACATTAAAATGATCGTAATAACGTTGTTTTTCATAAAGAATTAGGTCTCCAAAGTTAAAAAGCATGGTTCTTTTTGAAAGGCTATTGCCGGACAATGAAACAACTTACCAACAAATAAAGATTGTGTTTAAAAGAGCAAAAGTACAAGATTCCTTTTATTTAGAAGTATAGGAAGTTTTTATTTATAACTTCTATTCGATTCTTCTTTTAAGGTCTGTTGGACGAAAACGTGCTGTGTCGACCATACAGCAAAATCAGCAAATGTGAAATCCTATCTGACTGCTATATATTCTATATACCCAGTTATATCTCCACTAATTTTGAAAAACATATGAAAAAAAAAGGGGATATGATTGTAATGAAGAATAAAAAGAGAATAAAGTTATGCGCGTTTATTGATAGTAATAATAAAAAAAAAAAAAAATAGAAATAATAAGTGTTAGAAAAAGAATTAATAAAATACCATGTCTAACTTTCTGAAAATGGATATGTTGAAAGGTGAACCGTATTAATCATTTCCTTGTGTGTGAATGCTTCCATCCATCAAATATTCATGATGGCCTTCAATACATTTGATATCATCATTGAGATAACAAACAATTGCATCACCCAAGCAGTAATGAAGCCAAGGCCATGCAGAAATGAAAATTTTAATAATGCCTGTCTACCCAGATCTCTGGGGTTCACAAAAATAAATTATTTTTCCCGATTATCAATCATGGTTCCTTATGAATAATAAATCTGATGTTGATTGCAGGTGTCAGATTTAATTAAAATTTCCTATCACCAACATGCAATGCGGTGCAATTAAGCACGCCTATAACCATGGAATTTTCTTTCCACAGAGAGGTTCCACACATGTTGGAAGGCTTTGGTCAAAACTTTCCCTTATCTCCCTCTCAGACCAGGCTTGGATGTCACCATATGGGCATTGATCACTGATAGCTTGGTGCTTGTGTGATGCTTGCTTTGTGTTATTGCCACACTAGAATAAAAGTTGGCATCTGCAACTGGTTGAAAATTCAGCAACTCGGGAGGTTGCAACCTGAGTCATTGTTTTGGTTTTTCCTGAATTCAGAGTTTTGAGTCCTGGGTTGCTGTAATTTTTATGAAAAGAAAAGTATTAATATTTAAAAATTAATTATTTAAATGTTTATTTTGTTGAAAAAAATATACATTGAAAAATGATTATACAAAACAAACACTATTTTACAACTTTCCTCTTAACATCAGAGCCCAAATGCAATTTCAGGGCCACCAACCCTGCTCTGAATTGTGACCTCTTGTGCTTGAACAAGCTGCAGATTCTCTTAATATTCCTCCAGAGTTGTGACTTGGTCACAGTGCCATCCTTCCCTAGAGGTAGGATCATTGCAGGCAACTTTTTGACCAGCATGCCAGCAGCCATCTCTGGTCTGGGGAGATTAGTGAAAGTGTCATTGATGCAGTCTCGGTAAACTCCAGGGCATTGCTCCCCGCCCCCTGGAATTCTGTAGCATCATTGTATCATCGGGGGATCAAGTCAGATTAGCCTTGTGCACACGAGGAAGACGAGAGAATGACTGTAAGTGTTCAAGGTAGCGTGCGTGCGTGCGTGCTTCAACACTTGCCAATTTCCGATAATCAAACATTGCATATTCAAAATGTTTCTTCTGTAACAGTCAGACATGCTGCCTTGACATCTTGTAATTATATATTAATATTATTATTATTAACGATTACGAAAAGCAAAATATTATCAATGAAAATCTTGTAATTACCCAGCAAGATCTGTTCCGCGTTTTGATTCCAATTAAAATATTTATATAAAATAAAAGACACCACATTATATCAATACAAATAAAAAATAGTACCTCTGGTTAGTTATTAACACGTTTCTTTAGGAGATCTAAACCAAACCAAACCAAACAACACTCACGTTTTGTCACCTTGGACTCTGTCAAAAAATAAATTGTTTTTCCAAAAAAAAGAAAAAAATCAATTCGCGTCTGTCCTACCAAAAAAAACCAATAGGATAAATAATTAATGTGTACACGTCGATCAAATAATAATACTTTTTTTTTTTGAAAAATGTTTAATCAAACTAAAAGAAGAAAAAACCACTCCAAGGCTATTGCCGAAGAAAAAGGGTAAGTGTTTTAAGGATGGTGATGGTTATCGCCCGCCACTCGTCGTCACTCTAGTTTTATATAAAATAATACAAATCAAATAAATTTTTTCTTAGCGAAGAACCAAAACGAGAAATATTATCGGAAAAAAATAATATTAATTATGATACTACTCAATATTCTTACGCAAATGAAAAAGTAATTGAAGACATAAAATTACCACCAACTTATCATCGTAAGCGAGAAAATAAAGCTGACATTGAAGAAAATATTTCAAGTAAAAAGGTAAAGAAAAATTTATAGGTGATAAAGTTGAGGGAAAATAAAATTCCCATGTGTATTTTCTATTCAGACAAAATGTGAGACGAATGATCCTAATGCAGAAAATCTACAACTAAGAAACAATAGTGAAAATTTTTCCTTCGAGTTTTTTCCCCCTTCTGATAATATTAATAAAGAGCTTGAAGACAACGACGAAGAAATTAAATTTGATCTAAAAAACATTTCAATAGAGTTGAAGCGTGAACCAAAAGCTAAGGTATATATACATCTCAAATATTGATTTCTTTATTTCTTGTATATCTCAATTTTACTTCTGTTTTTTAGTGGGAAGTTGGTTGTACTTGTATAACAGATAGATTTCGCCAGTATCAAAAAGATATTCTCAAGAAAGCACAGAGAGAAGGTTTAAAATATGATAATATTTACGAACTTCTGTAAGTATTTTGAACATATAACATTTGACTAGCACAATGACCATACTGAGATATATCAAAACATCTTTTTTCCTTATTGTATTCAGGGCTTTATCATCCATTATAGTGCTCTGTTGGCCATGTCCATACTCAATATTCACTAATCAAGAATGGAAAGAGATAATGGAAACTAATCCCTACAACATAAATGAACCACCACTTACACTGGAGATTTCATCATCTCTTCGTGATACCGCTGGTAGACACTTGGTTGGCGGAGACGTTTTTATGGATAGTGTAAAATCTCAATTGAACAGAATAGTCGCATCCATGTTCAATAATCTGTAAGTTTACATCAGGAAAATTGTGCAAAAATTTTCCTGATGTACTTGTTTTACGATATGTTTTTTGTTATCTGTGAATTCGTGACTTACATAAATTCTTTAACACATTACAGATATTATAGTATTCCGGAAGTTGCCCCATCAAAGCTATCCGAGGAGGAACATTGTGATATGTTCATATATCCAATTACTCGTTCGTTTCATCGACCCGAAAAAGAATATGAACTTGGATTAAATCGTGCCACCGCAAGATCAAAAACAAGACCCGATCTTTCGTGTTTAGTGAATGGTGTGGCAATCTTAAACTCAGAGTTTAAGCCATTGGGTTTCACACCATTACAAGGAAAAAAGGATAGGTTGAAAGCTCAATTGAAAGGGAGAAAATCAATAAACCAACAATTAGAAAGAAAGGGAGGTCCAGGCGAAAGTGCTATATTTTTAAACCTCGGTATGTATATGCTTTCGATAAATTACAAGTTTTATTATTATTTCTTATGAATTATGTTTCTACAATAATCAGGTGATTCGATGGAATCCTTTATTATGGATCTAAAATTTGACGGTTTATACCGTTCCTGGCTGTTTCTCAAAACAAAGGTGGTAGTCGACAAATCTGCAATTCCGTTAGCAGAATTCGCGATAAGTCATTTCGTTGCTTTGGAGGTATATGCCATGTTTTTTTTAAGCTTATAATGATACATTTTTGCTCACAAATTTCATTCTTTGTAATGGCAGGAACGCGTTCAAAGAATTTCAAATATCGAAGTGATCAATTTACACCACCTACACAAATGTCTTATATTCGCAAACTTCCAGATACGCCACAAGTAAAAATATTGCTTAAATAGGAACTGGTCGGGGTCTCTAATTAGTCTGAAGAATTCGTGTAGTGGAATGGTTTTTAGAAAAGTTATATTGAAAATCAGATATTTTTATTATTATCTGTTATCACAAAAATATATTATTTAATTTATAATCGCGTATTATATTTTTATATATAAGAATAGTTTTTATATATTGCTAAAAAAAATAAAAATAAAACAATATCAAATTGATATTAATATTAATATATAATAATGCAAATAGTGATGTTAAATTTGATCCCTGAAATTCCTGGTTCACTTTGTCTGGTTTTGTTGCAGTCTACCCCATATATTAATATACAAAAAAAAATTTCCTTTATGCAAATGTAATAAGTGAAGGTTGAATTTTTGTTAACAATGGCTTTTGGTCCGAATGCTTTTCCTTCCATGCAAGTGCTCTGACAATTTTTTTTAACTTACTTTTTTATGTCATTTATGTATTTTTCCATTATTACTTGAATTAATTTCTTTTGTCAATAAATTCCAAGTCATGTGCCACTAATTTATCATTGGTCGAAATTATAGAAACAATTAATTGTAATAATTACAATCTAAAATCAAATAAAAAAAAATTAATAAAGCTAATTTTTTACAATCTTTTTTTTTACAAGATGGCGACATACAAAAAAATTGAAAAAGAGTTAGAAGAAGTAAAGGAGAGGTTGAGAAAGATAGAGAAGAAGTTGGAAAGGCTGGAGAAGTTAAGAGAAGGAGAGCCAGAGATGTATGTTGGCGAAAAAGGAATATTGGAAGGGAAAGAAAGAGTTGGAGGAGGATAAGAAGAAATGTGGAGAGCAGATGCGGTATTTACAAAAAGAATTAACCAAATTCAATAAAGAAAAAGGAGAGGGTAATTGTGTAAAAAAATAAAAAAAATTATTTTTTATTCATTCCATTCCATGTTTAACATTAAATTACATTGCTTGTATAGTGAAATATTAATGATATTTCCTATTTCCATTTCTATTTATTTCAGAAGCCATCCATTTCAAGAGAAAATTTAGTTACTCATCATCAACACCATCAAAATTACAGAAACAACTAGTCATTGATGATTCTTTCACATTATTATGAAACTAGAGTGAAAAATAATCATCTTTCAATTCCTGAACAGAGGAAAAAGATACTGCACATGATGGGTTTGATTTTTCAGATGTTCCAAGCTATGCAGATGCAAAACTTATTCAAGAAGAAGAAAGTTTAAGCAAATTAGAAACAGTCTATCAACATTATCTTATGAAGAAGCTGGATATTTTTGTTTCCAAATACCCAAGCATGCAACTGAAACATGTAGATACTCACCAGAAACCTATTCTTAAGGGACAAAAACCAGATATTATCTTCTATTTGCAAGATCGAGCCATCTCAAATATCAATATTGTTTCTGTTTTAGAGATCAAAGTCACTGAAAAAGAGGATGAATGGGTGAAAGCCACATCTCTTGCAGAGTTATGTCAATTTCTAGAAACACTTTTACAATTAAACCTAGATCACAAGGAGGCAACAGGGATTTGACAACTTGTCATCATATTCAATTCATTAAAGCTGTATTGACTGAAAATAATGATACCTATTTCTATATAACTGGTATCCTTCCATTTAGAAAAGTTGGATCCCATTATCTTGCACACTTTTGTTTATCAACATCAGAACTTCTTGGATTTTCACTTCCAACAATTAAATATCAAGAAAAAATATTTGAGGCGACAGAGATACTTGGAACTGGCGCAACAAGTACTGCTTACTTACTTGGAAATGATTATGTCTTAAAGGTTTATAAGCCTATTTATGCTGATATTTTCAATTTTGAAAGGGAGGTGGTGTGATTAATATTCCTTGTTATGTTGGATGTGGAAAAACATCAAAGACAAGTGCCAACTTTATCTTAATGAGTGGAGTTGGGTCATCTCTTAATGACACAGATATTGATATGGGGCATGCTGCAACAAAACCAGACAAAGTGAACATTGGTATTACAAAGGATTTCGGGGATCAATAGTGTTTGTTTAA